CGTAGGCGTTGTCGTAGACTACGGGGGTCGGGGGGGGGGATCAGGAAAAAAAAAAAAGAAAAAAGTTAAGAGCATATAAAACAGGAATACAATTTTTTAAAAAAGGAAAACAGCACTGTCTCTCTATTCGCCATGTCTTGTCCCGGAGGCATGGCATAAAAAGAAAATCAGCTCTCATTATTTTAATAGCATTGTTTTCCTGCTTCGCTGGAAATAGCTCTTCTTCCCCTACTCATTACTGTCACCATTCGGCAAATCGCATGACCTGTCAGATACCAGCCCTTGATTATGTTTGTCATCAAACAGTCTGTTGACTAACTGAAACCGCTGCCAGTATCTGCACCTTTGATACCATGACAGCATTTTTTTTCATCCCTGAAATTCCCTAAATACATTTCCTGTGTGTGCAGCTGCAACACTGGCCTTTACTTCCAATTATAAACACGTCTACACAGGATCAACGCCAGAACACGAGTTTGAGTTGACCATCTTTGTTATAACTCTTGTGGTGTAGTGTTTTGGAGTGGGAAAAAAGCCTTTAAAAATAGACAAAAACACTTCACATGACAGTCTTGCCATCACCTCCAGCATTGATGTGTTTTTCTCATTAATGCTGATTCTGGTAGTGAGGTTAAAACAGTTTGAGCTGTTTTTGAAGGATTTCACTTGATACTCAATTAAGTTCAGATGTAATTGGGTTCTTTTTCACAATGCTCCCCTTTAAATGCATCATACCCCCCCATGGTCCAATTATAATGTTTAGTCAAGGTTGTTTTATGCCAAAACAGTTATAACTTAACTTATAACTTATAACTTTCCTGTGACTATTTACAACCTTCTTTCTGAGCATTAAAATTAAACGAGGAGGACGTTTTTTTTTTGTCTAGAAGGTTACAGCATGACCTATTTATGGTCAACTCTTAATACCTTTTGAAATTGTCAGAATTGTCAGTATTTACACAGTTTACTTTTTTTCTGATTGGTTAAAATAAGCTTAATGAAGTGACATAATTGCTGAACATTTTGTTTTTCCTTCATTTAATTGTGTCCAATCTACTTAAATGCGTACATCTGAAGTTTGCTTAATTTGGTTGGTCCTACCAAAATAATTTTTTGTAACTAGGCAGTGGATTTTTAGTTTTGAACACACTTTGCATATGGGCTGGATCAGACGTGTGTTATTTTATGTTTTGACTAAAGGGAAAGACCTGTTAAATGTTCTTGTGGTTACCACTGTGCTGAAGATTGGAGCTTGTAGTTAAGTGAATTAAGTTGATAGTGTATGTTGCTCCATTCAGTAAGCAATAATTGCATTAACATTAATGCAGTGACAAGTAACTTCTTACTTGTTCACTGCAAATGTTTGCTACACTAGCTTCAGAAGGTATTATAAGTGTACAACAACAATTCGTATTAATCAGTTTTTAGAAATAATTACTAGTATAATGTATTGATGAATGTTATCTAGACTTTACCTAATTTATTTAAGTGTGTCATAGCTGGTAAATTTAGGTGTCTTTAGTCAACACATGGGATGAATTGTATAGGTTTGTTTTTACAACTCACGTTGTCCGGAGAGGTCCAGGGTACGAGAATGCGTCTTCTCGGGATCCACAATCTCAATAGTGTACATTCCTTTATCCTTATCAGTCGGTTCTACCATCTCCAAAGTTGCCATTGCTGGGTTGCCACCAATTCTCATCCTTTCTGATGCAGCAATTTTAGAATCCCTTGAAGTACAGAGGAAATGAATGCAAAGAAACCCATTATTATCTGTTCATCACTGAGAGAATGACAAAACCAATGCAATCACATGCATGCTTTTAACATGTTACAACGAAGGCACGTTTAATCCCAATCCCTTTTTAAGCTCAATTGTTTGCTCATTTTCCATAGAGTAAATGGTCTCAAAACGTTAGACATGCCTTTTTTTCAAGTGGGGCATCAAATTAGCATGTCCCTAGTGTAAAATTAGACACGGTGGGTGTTTTTTTTGTGTCGCGACTGAATGTGAAATTTCCCCTGCATTAATACCTGCTCTGCGTGTGATTCAAAATGTGCAACAGGGGGAGGAAAGACCCAGAACAGCCACTTCAAAATGCTAATACAGGGATTTGAGAAGCCATGCGAGCAGGAAGAGGCTTTTCTCACTACGGTAGAATTTCACATGCTACTGAATCACCTCCAGGGCTGAGCATTAGGCAACTGCAATCAGAATGATTTGTTTTGTTTCGACAACAGAGCGAGGAACAAGACAGACTCTTTATTCTTGTAATTTCCTGTAGTTCAATAATCATTTATTTTGTACACCTCACACTGAACCAACACAAAACTATAGACCAAAATCTGAAAATCATGTTTACATGTAGTCGTTGTCATGCCTGGGGACATGCATTTTCAAGGGTATTTGTGTATCTTTTTTTATTCTAGGAAATCGTTTCAAGTGAGAGTGGAAAATGTGCATACTTTTGTTTCCAATGGATCTTCATCTCCTCGGTGTAATATTTCATATGGCACTGAAGCATAATGCCCTCCGCAGTGCACTGAATCGACAACTCAGAGGCGCTGGATCCTGTCCAGGTCCAAAAAAGAAGGAAAGAGATCTTAAAATTCACCAACACAGGCTGGTTGGACAAAAAGCTGCATTGCTGTGATTCACCATGTGTTAAAGCTGAGATTCTTTTGCTATTTATGCAAAGATTTTCAAGTAGGCACCCAGCTACAATGAACGAGTGTTTTTCTCTTTAAGATGATCTTTTTACTGTTTTCATTTTATTGTTTTTTGGAAGAAAGAATAAGAATCGTTTTAGTACAATGGAAACTGAAGTGGGTAGAAGTGCAGTGAATTGGTCAACCACTGTGGTTCTCATTAATTGTGTATAAACAAATTTGTGAATCTGATGAAACATACTTTACCTCAAATAAAGCAATAAGCCCCGAGAAGCCGTGGTTTACAGTGAATTTATAACAGCTAAGGGGCATTGTTAGGCACGACGCGAAGCGGATATATATACTAAAAAATATATGCTTTTATAAAACGGTTATTCCATATATGTAGTAAGGTTTCACAGAATAAAACAGAGCAAGTAAAGTGCAATGATATTAATGAAAACATTATTCTTCCGTCAAACAATGTAGTTCCTCAGAATCGGTTGTGGTTCTCAACGGCTCTGGTTCCAACAAAGTGGTTGCCGAGCAACACACAAATGTAAACAAATGTGTATGTTTGTAGAGTCATTTACAACAGCTTCGAACTTGGCTCAACCAATCAGAATCAAGGACCGGAACTATCCGTTTTATAAATCATATTTTACCTCACAATTAGAAAGAAATCAATTATATTTTGCTTAAAGAAAATAATAACAAATAACTTATTTTACAATTATTTTTGCAATGTGAGAAAAAAATAGCAATCACGCAGAGTTTCCTAACAAATTCTCATTACTGTAATTCACTGTCTGTATAGAATCATAGGGATTCTGTAGCCTATTCAAGGGTCCCAAGGCGATAACAGGGAAACGCCCCGGATGGATCCATCACAGGGCTCAAAAATGATATATGTTATTTAAATTATTGTTATATATTTTACCAGTCTAAAGTTTGGACACACTTGACTGAACTCATGTTTCTAACAGTCTTATGCTTATGCTTAAAAGCATGAAATTAGTTTTATAAAATTGTAATATAATAGTATCTTTAACTACTGTGAACATGAATTTTAATCAGATGGCTTTACTGTTGTGCTTATTTATGCTCTTTCTAAAATCTGGATATGTTTTCAGAAGAATCACTTAAACACCAAATCAACATGGCATGCTTTTTAGCATAAGAGTATCAGAGTCACCCTTGGGTTACAGTCATACAATTCATCACCAAGACCCCGACAGCTCCAGCACAGCACTAAAAATGAACTATGGGAAACCATAAAAAGTTCATAATTGAAGTTCTGGTCCATTTTAAACTAGATGACCAGATTTAGACTCCATGGATAGAGAAGATGAGAGACGGTTGATTTAAAATCAGTTGATGTTAACACGAGTAAAGACATGCTGGCTTTGGAGAGCCAAATGACAAACATGATGATACATGTCATACACACCAGCGACACGACTGAGCTCGTTAATGATGTCATCAAAAGCTGTGGGCGAGAAAAAGACTTCTTTAATACACGTTTTATGGAACATTTTCCAGCACACATTTAAATTTTTCTATATTTGATAAACAATGCCGAGAGATGGTACCTTTGCCAGAAACATCAATCTGTGACACATCTTGGCCTCTGTCATCGGTGATGGTTGCTTTATATAGTCCCACATCCCTCTTGGAGAACTAGAATATCAGGATAAAAAATTGAAGAAAAAAACACAGCATCTCACAAAAACAGGCCACCTGAGTGATGCTTTTTTTAGAGCATTACTGGCAGAATAGCTTTTGTGCTATATTGTCTTGGGAGTAAATTATAGCTTTTTCATATAGTTTTATAAGAATAGCTTTGACAAAAAATGTCAAAGAATAACCAGCATTACAAAAAATTACTACGGCACTCAATTGATTGAGACCCCTGGTTTCAATCCTCAGGGAGGCAGAAGCTCTTAAGGTTATTTCTCATGTGAAATGTTCTTATGGTAGTTCTCATAAGATGTCAGGAGCGATTATAACAAATGCAGTATAATTTTGTCATGAGTCAAGCTTCTTTGTATTTATGGAAGTTGCACAAGCTGTTTTACTTTGTAACTGGGAAGAATATCGACTGATAAAATACAAAGCAATTACCCATAACAGTCCAGCAGGGATTATTTGTCTTTTTACTGAAATAACCTTTGCTATGGCACTTAGCATTGAGCATGCTTCAGTACACTTTTGATACATTTTAAACTTTGATTATGGAAAGCACAAACACAAACGTCTGTTACTGGCTACACTAGCGGTCACGAACCCATAAATGGGTCACAGATCTGTTCTGCTCTCTGGACATGATGGAAAAAACAATTGTGAATAATGCTAATAAATTGCAATTAGCCATATAAATGTGTATTGAATCACAATATCAGGATACCATGCAAAACATTTAAGAGAAGTAGAAAAGATTCCCCTTATATTTAGTTGTTGACATTAAAAGACTGTGCATTAAACTCGTTTTTTTTTTTTTTTTTGTTTAAAGGTCCCATGGCATGAAAATTTCACTTTATGAGGTTTTTTAACATTAATATAAGTTCCCCTAGCCTGCCTATGGTCCCCCAGTGGCTAGAAATGGCGATAGGTGTAAACCGAGCCCTGGGTATCCTGCTTTGCCTTTGAGAAAATGAAAGCTCAGATGGCCCAATCTGGAATCTTCCCTTTATGTCGTCATACGGGGAAAGGTTACCTCCCCTTTCTCTGCTTTGCCCGCCCAGAGAATTTGGCCCGCCCATGAGAAAATGAGCTACTACCGTGCGAGGCGAGCGCAATATTTTTTTTTCCTCGAGAGACATCATGGCTTGCAAACGAGCGAAGCATGGCAGTTGCCCCGCCTCTCTCCTCCTCATTAGCATTTAAAGCTACAGACACAGAAATGGCACGTCCTAAGGAAAGCTCATTGTGGGACTGGCTCGTAGTGGCTGAAATTCTGCACCAAGGCTGAATTTCGGGAAAGAGACTTCAGATACAGTACTAGGGACCACTTAGGCCTATATAAAAGCATCCAAAAAGCAGCATGTCATGGGACCTTTAAGCAAATTCACTAATGCTAATAGCTAATACAATTTAGCCCAGTGTTTGTTCCATGTGTAAGGCTTTTAGATCACTGTTCTATTGTTTATGTATTCACTGGAAATATTAAATAACCTGGAATATAATATTTGGGTGAAATGCTGTTTTAATATATAGTTTAGTCATGAAACTCTAGATGACGCAGGCTGATGGGTTGTTAACGTAACTGATGATATTCAGAGAGTTAAACGACTTGGCACAAGCTGATTGGTTCATGCTGCATATACAGCTAATGAGCTTACTGCCTTGCATTTATATGGCTGGCTAGCATTCACTAGAGATTCCTGCAGCGCGCTTCAGAGTTTCTCTGAAACCCTCCACCTTCCCCAGCTCCACCTGTCCAACAACAGCAGCAATTCAGCAGCAGCGTAGCAGATCTATTCCGCCAAGACCAAATACATTAACATTGTCATATCCATCACCATGCTAAAATCTTCAGAGAGTTGTCATGATTAAAATACATTTAAATGTGTGATTTTAAGGCTTTTTGGTAACCTTTGACAGATTAGAGTGACATTTGACTAAACTATTTTTAGCTTCAGTGTTTATGAAATGAAATGCTCACATTAGTTAGGGGGAACTTGCAGACTCCTGAGTTCAAGTCAGCAGGCACCTCAGAAATCACCTCTACATCGTCCTTATACCATTGGAACACAGAGTCCTTCTTCAAATTAGCCACCTGAAGGGGGTCAGACATGCAAAAAAACACCATATATCATCAGTCAGTCTTCAATTTGATATACAGTTTGCTTTGGCTAAATCATTCCCATTCAACTTGCCTTGCAAACAAGAGTGACAGAGGCGTTTTCCCCAACTTGAATGGAGAGGAACTCCATAAAGTGAGGGCCTGGAAGAATAAAAATGGAAAATTAACATTATGAAATCATGGGAAACTCAAAGAATCAGTGAGCAACTATACTGAAAAACATAAACCTAAACCAGTGGTTTGCTAGGCTTAGCTGGTCTCACAGCCTGGCCAAGATGTTTGTTATCTGGTTTAGCTGGGAGGTCAAGAGACAAAATTTGGGATTCAAAATCTACTAGTCTGAGAAGAATCTACTACATAATACAGTATAAAAACGGGCATATTATTAAAATCTCTTCTTGCATGTTCTACGGAAGCAAGTCATGCAGGTTTGGAAAAAACATGAGGGCGATGAAAGGACTTTCATTTTAGGATGAACTATTCATGCGAGCAATAGTTTTTCATCAGGGAACCAATAAGAGATTTTTGTATATAATGCAAAGCTGGTTTGTAAACCTCAAAAAAGTAATATCAAGAATGGAGTACAAAACCGCAGGTTGTAATTCACTCTATCTGAAATTTATTTCAACAGCTGCATCAACAGGATGAGTGCAGTACCCTCTTTCACACGAATGTACTCCCTCCTTTGGTATTCTGCCTCAGCCAGCGCTGCCTTGAAGGCTGGAAAAGGAAAATAAAGCAGGAACTATAAGAGGTCAGTGAGTAGAGTTCAACAGAGGAGCACAATATCTCAAGATGAGAGCTGCAGAAGCCCTCGAGCAATGCTGGCTCTCACCGTCTCCGATCAGCACCAGAGAGGACTGGGCCTTGGCTCTGCCATCTTGGATCTGCACGGTGAAAGTGCCCTCGCTGTCGTCAGTGAAATGATCCATCACCATCTCAATAATGCCCGTAGCTGCGTCGTGACTCATTTTAGTTTGCTGTGAAAAAGCCGGAGAGGTAAACATTTCTCTCCTGGGCTTTTCTTAGGAGGTTCACGCAAATGGAACAGAAAAACATAACAGATGGTAGTATTGCAATAGAGCTGAATCTATTTATTTGGATTGGTTATGTTTTCGTGCACAGCAAAGGTTGGAGCTAAGCTTAAAGGGATAGTTCACAGAGAATGACAATTCAGTAATCAAATACAAAACCTGTATGTCTTTCTTTCTACCACAGAACACAAAAGGTATTACTTATAGCAGAAATTCCATGCTGGCCTTTTCAGTTCAGTGAAAGGGATGCAGCAGTACTATTTTGTAAAAAAAAAAAAACACAAAAATTTTAAATCACATCATTATATATACACAGAGATATCTTGAGATCCTCTAAAGCTTACATTTAACGAGTGTTATTAGATTATTTGTGTTTGTGAAGATTAAGTTGGAGGACAAAGGATATTAGAATATACACACTAAAAATATAATACTACAATATTACATTTAATATATCAGCCAATATATATTCAAAATAATCTGATAACCAGTATGATACTGATATTTTCTGTATTCCTAAAGTTAAATATTTTCAGTACATAATGACTTTAGTCATTTTGAAATTAGTACAGAAGTCAAATGGACGCTGTTTGTGATGCTTTTACTGTGCTGTTAAACAACTTATTTCATAAAAGAAAGAAAGTCATATGGGGTTTGGAGGATCCTAAGGATGAGTAAATAATAACAGAATCTTCATTTTTGGGTAATATAAAACTCTCTCCTTTCTGTTTATGAAATAATGAAGACATGTGGTTGCCTGTATCACTTTATTTGCAGTTGTTTACCTCACAGTTGACAAGCTTCTTGTTATTGGCAAAGAATTTGTAGGTCACAGCAGAGGAGATGCCCTCAGCTTGCAGCCAAAAGCGCATACGGCCTCTCTCTAGAATCTTATAGGCCAGTTCAGTCTTCAGAGGGATAACTGTGACACAAGAGAGGTGATGAGTGACAATCTGACATGTTGTCTTGTGTGTTGTCACTGTTCATGCGCATGACTTTACACTTGTGAATAACACATGCCGATCATATAGAAAAATAGCAGAGTTTTTAAGCGATAAGCCATGTCCTTTGTTACAGTGAATTTGAAATGCTTAAATGCTATTGTCAGGCCATAGACTGTATAAAAACATGGACGTAGTGTCCGTGACGTCACCCGTAGGTTTCTGAAGAGCGGTTTTGAAGCTCAAAGTGGGCGGAGCCGGCCGTCACCATCTTGGCAGCGTGTCACACGCGTCACTCCCGGATAATCGAAAATGGGCAAAGAGGCGGGAGCTGGTTGCTGAAACCACGCCCACCTAGCTCGACG